AGGAACCCCGAGTAAGAAATATATCGACTGTGAATATATTGAATATATTTAGGAACCCCGAGTAAGAAATATATCGACTGTGAATATATTGAATATATTTAGGAACCCCGAGTAAGAAATATATCATCTGTGAACATATTGACTATATTTAGGAACCCCGAGTAAGAAATATATCATCTGTGAACATTTTGAATTTATTTAGGAACCCCGAGTAAGAAATATATCGACTGTGAATATATTGAATATATTTAGGAACCCCGAGTAAGAAATATATCGACTGTGAATATATTGAATACCCGGCTTTCGGACGAAGCCGTTGCTAAATTCACTCTCAGGAATATTTAGAGGAAATAATTTTTAAGATTTAATTTTTGATATTTAATAACATTCTTTAAGACCAGGGTTTTTGTCCATTTTAAAGGCGTATGTTCGATTGGCCCTTCATATAAAGACAGCAATGCCCGATTCATAATAATATGGAAAATATTGTCATTTTCTAGGTGTAAACGTGTTTTCTATGTGTAAACGTGTTTTCTAGGTGTAAACGTGTTTTCTATGTGTAAACATGTTTTCTAGGTGTAAACGTGTTTTCTAGGTGTAAACATGTTTTCTATGTGTAAACGTGTTTTCTAGGTGTAAACGTGTTTTCTAGGTGTAAACTTGTTTTCTAGGTTTTAAACGTGTTCTCTATGTGTAAACGTGTTTTCTAGGAAACGTGTTTTATTCTTTCTTCTTTTTCCGCAGCAGAAAGCGCTAATCACTTCAGAAGAGAACCATAATTGATGAAATCAGTTTTCAAAATTATAAACATTAATATCTTATTCATATACTTGATAAGAAAAGGTTTTTAAGAGTACCGTTGTAAACTGGACACTGCCTGGTGGGTCACTTGAAATTACGCTTACAGCCCCTTATCTTGTATTTTAAATAAACATGTTTTTAAATTTTATTCTGAATTATTCAGTGCTCTTCATGAAAAGAAAAAAAATACTGAAACCACAAAATTTTCATAAAATGAAATTAATTCCTTTTTATTGCTTGAAGTCATCCTGGCCTTCTCAAACTAAGGAAACAAAATAAATAAAAATTGAAATTGAATTTTACAAAAAATTTTCCAGAAAAAAAATATTTAGAATTTATTTTATAACCATGTTTAGTGTGAAGAACATGTCACCAATGTTTACAAGGAAAAATATTCAATGTTTGATAAATTATCAATTAATTAATGAATATACTACAATAGTTAAAATTCTAATACAAAATTTCATCTAGGCTAAAACGACATAATACAAGCCGGAGGAAACATATCTAAAACTGTATTTAAGCTTAGTTACACCATTATTCCACATAATTAAAACATCTATAAATATAAAGCAGTAATCTCTGTTTGTCTGTTTGTAAGTCCGATCATAACTCATGAATCCCTCGACCTGTTGGCCTCGAATTCTTTTGATTTGGGGAACACAGGAATGATTTAAAGGAATTGAGTCTTTACCGCAAGCCCTGATTTTCTAATACATATATCTTTGCAACCCAATGTCGTATACCTTTGATTTTAAAACTACGAATTCTGTTAGATCAAAAAATCTAAGTTTAAAATATCATTAAACTGGTTTACACCATCAGGTTGCAAAGATATAGGGATTTGAAAATTTGAGTTAGTGGCAACGAATTAATTCCATTTTAGTTGAGTGGGTTGAATTTTATAGGGAAAGCTTCAAACAAAGCCGGGTTTCCAAACTGGTTTCCTATAAATTCATTCATTTATTCCATCCATCTACATGGACTGCAGTCCACTCATGCATTACATTCTGTCTAATTTCTTATATATTAAATTCTTCTCAGAATACTAATTAAACTAAAAAGAAAAAAGAGAAAATATGATATTTTTTGGTCTATTATTAGATTTATTTTAACAGAAAGAGTTTGACAAGAGTGAAGATCTATTGAATTGGGTTGAGTTAAGATATGTTAGGTTGGGTTGGGCTGAGCTAGGTTGGGCTGGGTTAAGCTAGGTTGGGTTGGGTTGAGCTAGGCTGGGTTGGGTTGAGCTAGGTTATGTTGGGTTGAGCTAGGTTATGTTGGGTTAAGCTAGATTAGGCTGGGTTGAGCTGGGTTGGGTTGAGTAAAGCTAGGTTATGTTGGGTTAAGCTAGACTAGGTTGGGTTGAGCTAGACTAGGTTGGATTGAGCTAGACTAGGTTGGATTGAGCTAGACTAGGTTGGATTGAGCCAGCTTAGGGTTGAGCTAAGTGTGGTTGAGCTAAATGTGGTTGAGCTAGACTAGGTTAGGTTGAGCTAAACTAGGTTGGATTGAGCTAAACTAGATTGGGTTGAGCTCCTTGGGAATGGTTGAGCTGGGGATGGGTTGAGTTAAGCTAGACTAGGTTGAGTAAGGGTGAAGAGAATAATTAGTATTCTAGGGAAGGAACCCTGGTCCTTCCTCTAACCTTTCTTATCTTCTTATTGAAGCATTAAATTTAACAATATTTTGATTCTAGATAAATTGATAGATATTTGGCTGGTTGTTTTGTTGGTATCTACTAAAAAATCCGCGTTATTTTTATTAGTTATTATTTTAAGATATATGTATCTTTCAATACTAAACAATCATTTTGTGTAAAACCAAAAGTTTTAGTAATTCTTCAAAAAGCTATTAAATGATTTATTTGATAGATAAATCATGTAAATAACATTGTTTGGTTTGTATATTTAAGATAATTAATTTCTAGTTCTATTGTTAATGAATATATCAGCGGGAAGTAGCATTAAAGGAAAATAAATTACTCAATACAATCTACTGTGTACTGTACGTACAGTGCACAGTAATTACTGTACGTACAGTATACAGTAATTACTGTACGTACAGTACACAGTAATTACTGTACATACAGTTGCAGTAATTACTGAGCGTGCAGTAAACAGTAATTACTGTACGTACAGTACACAGTAATTATTGTACGTACAGTACACAGTAATTACTGTGCGCACAGTACACAGTAATTACTGTACGTACAGTACATAGTAATGTACACAATGAAAAGTTTAAAAAGATTATTTATGAAGTTAAGAACGGGGATAAATTAGAAATGAAATTATCTAATCAGGGGTGGCCAGGGAGTGTTATAGCCTATAAAATATTTGAAATTTTTTAAAAACATTTTTAAAAGCATTTTTTTGTTCACGGGCAACGCCGGACCCTTCAGCTAGCTTTATATATATATATATCTTGATCTTAAATATGTTCTACTATCTGTATCCCTACACTCTAAATTTATATTTTGAAATAATACAATTTCATGATTGCAATTACTGTAAAAGCTGACAGTGCTAAAACATGGCAGAATACTTGACACTTCAAATTCGCAATATCACTCAGAACACAGAACAATGAACGAAGAACACAGACTTCCGAACTCAGAGCTCAGAACTCAGAACACAGATCAAAGAACACAGAACTCAAAACATTGAATACAGAACACAGAACACAGAACATAGAACACATTACACAGTACAGAACATAAAACACAGTACTCAGAACAAAGAACGTAGAACTCAGATTTCAGAACATAGGACACAGAACACATAACTCAGGACACAGACTTCAGAACCAGAATACAGAACACAGAAAACAGAACACAAAACACAGAACACAGAAGAAAAACACAAAACACAGAACATAGAGCACAGAACATAGCACACAGAACATAGAACACAGGACATAGAACACAGAACACAGAACTCAAAACATAGAACACAGAATAGAAAACACAGAACATAGAACACATATCTCAAAACACTGAATATATTGTAAAGAATCAGAGAGATGACAGATTTACAGGATTTGAAGAAAAATAACATTTTTCAACTGAGAATCCTAAATTTCTGTGAAGGTTAGTAGAATCTTATTTGTGATTCTAGGAGAGAATATTAAGTAAAATGAGACGGAGAAATGGTTTATTATGTTTACATTGTGTACTTTTCTGCAGTTTGGATGAGGCTTAAAAAAGGCAACTGCTGAAACCCGAAAGAAATTGAGTCTTTGGCCACAAACTAAAAGTTTCTAATCTTAGATATCTTTGCAACATGTTGGTGTAAACCTTTTATATTTCAAACTTAGATTATTTTATCTAACGCAATTAAAAGTTTGAAATATCTAATTCTTTGTCTAAGTTTCTTTTACGACATGAGTTCTGTCTACATTTAAAATGCACAGTGTATCTACATAAAGTAAATGAATTAAAGCAAAATATATAAATTAAATGATAGAATCGGGGTTATTTTCTTGATTTTCCTGAATGTAAATACTCAAGAACTGTCTTTCAACGCCGGACATAATCAATTTCCAAACATATAATTAGATAATTAGAATAAGGGTTTAAAGGGAACCATTTTGAATCTGCATAGGTTCATAGTTACGTGTAAACTCTGTAAGCTTATAAATGCAAATTTTGATAATATGGTTTTATGCAATTTAATTAGGAAATGTTGATGAGAAAGCTGTTCAGTTGGGATTAGAGGTCTGTCCCTTTACAGAATCATTAGTTATCAGGCAAACAGATCTAAGGTTAGTGGTCGTAAAGGGAGTGCATACACAATTTTGTGGCCGTAAAGGGATTATATACACAACTTTGTGGTCGTAAAGGGAGTATATACACAATTTTGTGGTCGTAAAGGGAGTATATACACAACTTTGTGGTCGTAAAGGGAGTATACACAACTCAGAGGTCGTAAAGGGATTATATACACAATTTTGTTTTTTGTAAAGGGATTATATACACAACTTTGTGGTCGTAAAGGGAGTATACACAACTCAGAGGTCGTAAAGGGATTATATACACAACTTTGTGGTCGAAAGGGATTATATACACAACTTTGTGGTCGTAAAGGGATTTTTACACTACTTTGTGGTCGTAAAGGGAGTATATACAAAACTTTGTGGTCGTAAAGGGATTATATACACAACTTTGTGATCGTACAGGAATTGTAAACACAACTTTGGTCAGTGGTCATAAAGGGAACACAACTTTGTGATCGTAAAGAAATTGTAAACACAACGTTGGTCAGTGGTCATTTTGGGAACACAACTTTGTGATCGTAAAGGAATTGTAAACACAACTTTGTTCAGTGGTCATAAAGGGAACACAACTTTGTGATCATAAAGGAATTGTAAACACAACTTTGGTCAGTGGTCATAAAGGGAACACAACTTTGTGATCGTAAAGGAATTGTAAACACAACGTTTGTCAGTGGTCATAAAGGGAACACAACTTTGTGATCTTAAAGGGATTGTATACACAACTTTGGTTAGTGGCCCTACAGAGATTGTATACACAACTTTGATTACTGGACGTAATGGGATTGTATACACAACTTTGATTACTGGAAGTAAAGGGATTATATACAGAACTTTGGTTAGTGGTCGTAAAGGGAATATATACACAACTTTGTTTACTGGTTTTAAAGGGATTATAGACAAAACTTTGTGGTCGTAAAGGGATTATATGCACAACTTTGGTTAGTGGTCGTAAAGGGATTATATGCACAACTTTGGTTAGTGGCCGTAAAGGGATTATATACAAAGGAAGCGTAAGCACAACTATGATTTGTAACCGGGAAAATTAGGCCGGTTGCATCAAAGTGAATAAATACTAAAGTGGAACAGACTAAGGAAACGACGACAGGTTGGGCCTTAAGGTTTTATTTGGTTTGGAAATAATTTCATGAAAAGATTTCGTTTGGAACGTAAAGACTAGAAAAAATAGACGAAAGACCCATGTAAATGTCGTCTTCAGATAGAACTTCGAAATTTTCACGATTTAAAATCAATATTTTTTGTACGTTTCTATGTAGTTTATATGTAAATACTATTTAGTCGCTTAAT